GATAAACAGACGCACAGGAGCTGGGGGCGGAACCTCCGCACGCGCGGTACTACCGCGCCCCCCATGCGGTACTACCGCGAGGCAAAAGTCCCAGCCAGTGGAAAAGGGAAACTTCCGTGCCTACTTCCGTAAAGAAACGGAAGTAGTAAAAACCCGACACAGTAGTACTGCCGAGGGGCGGTACTACTGCCTGACCGCATAGCGCGGTACTACCGCACAGCGAAAGCGGTACTACCGCGGTAGGTGCGGATGTAAAAAATTACATCCGCTCCTACTACCACAAAGGGGCGGCACTAGCCTGGTGGGTAGCGGTAGTGCGGCTCCAGGGGAGCGGTACTACCGTAGGCACCTGCGGTACTACCGTGCCACTGCATGATACTACCGCTGATGCCTACGGTACTATCTCTTTCCTGGGAGCAGTACTACCGCAACCAACAACGGCAGCCACACAAGGGAGGCAAGAAAACAGAGGAAGCTCCAAGGAAGAAGGAGGGGAAAAGAAGGAGACGTGTACGTGATGAATCCACCCAAACCTTTCCAACGCGGACCCTGACAAAACCACACTCAAGAGAACAAGAACTGCCATAACTTCTGCATATGAGCTCCGAATTGAGCAAACTCAAGCTTGTTGGAAACAAGACGACGAGTAGCATCAAAACAACGAGTAGTGAAAAGAGTAGTGAAACCTCCAACCGAGAAGAACCGGCAAAACCTCCAACATTGAAAACATCATAGAAGATGCAAGCGAACTACGTTTTCGATGAACTCAAACGTGTCAACAAGATGACCTTAAGCTCTAAGACTCACAAAGAGAACCAAACAAGAACCAAGAAAGATGATGCAAGGATGCAATGGTTTGAGCTCTCTACGAACGATACAATCAAGCTACTCATCGAGAGCCCCCCTTGATAGTACGGCAATCGATCCTATAACCCGGTCTCCCAACTACTATCACGAGACCGGTAAAATAGAAAACCTATCAAGGGCAAACCTTTGCCTTGCACATGGTCCACTTGAGCTAGATGATGACGATCTTGACTTCCTCAAGTTGGACCACCTTTCTTGATTGTGTTGGCTCGATGAAGACTAGTTGATTGCTCCCCCATACTCCACTATGGGTGAGCCTTTCTTCCGCACATCTTCACAAGTCCATTGTCACCACAAAGGACGGCAAGCTTCAAGCATTTGATCTCTTCGTGGTGCTCCACTTGAACTTGCACTCCGCAACCTAACCCCACAAAGAACCCTCACAAAGACCATGGGTTAGTACACAAAGCGTAATTGACAATGCTTACCATACCATGGGATCACTTGATCCCTCTCGGTACATCTTCTACGCTTTGTGGGTTGATCAACTTGATTCACTCTTTAACTTAGTCTTGATCGACCTCTCACAAGACCAATCTTTAGGTAATTCCTTGAATAGCACCTTGGTCGACACAAACTCTCCTTGAAACCAACACATGTACTCCAAAAAAAGCCTATGGACAAAACCTTCAAATATAACTCAAGGCAACCATTACTCCATAGAGATTGTCATCAATTACCAAAACCAAACATGGGGGCACCGCATGTTCTTTCAGCCCTATAAAACGGAAAGGAGGAAGTATAACACAAAAATTATACCGTCTGAAAATAGAACGTCTGAAGTTTATAATGCTATGTTTTTTGTAATATATGACTTCTATTAGGTTGGTCAAATTACCGACCTAGGGTTACGCGCACGTCTTGTAAATTGAAAGAGAGGGAGTATAGCAAGTATTTAAAGCTGGTTACTGGGAGTTTAAGTTGTGGATTAACATGGCGTGTCTTAGGCCCTATTTGGTTCAGCTTTTATCGACGGATTCCACTGCCGCGCAGCAGAATCTGAACCAAAGGGTGAACCCAGCAAAATCCGATTCTAGAAATCCGCTGCCAAAATCTAAACCAAAAGCGGAAGCAGTCAGGACGTGCTTTCCAAAATCTAATTCCGTTACGGGCCAAAATCTGAAAAAAGCTGTATCAGCTGGTTTGCCAAATGACCTACATCTTTTTCACATCAGATTTTCACAGTTGTTTTTCCATAGCAGATTTTTCACAGCTGCTTTTAGAAATCCACAGCCGAACCAAACAGGGCCTTAGTCAGATGCATACTTGTGTCCATATTTTCTGTTCTTTTTTTCCTGACAAGCAAAAGACTTACCATCGCCATTAAAGGAAGAATGGAAGTTAATTTGTGGAAAACACGACGAAAAACGTTACGAACACATCCACAAAAACTGCCATCATCGAGCATGACGTTACATGGAGCCTAGCCGAGCTCTCTACCGACGTTAACACCACACACATAACAAAAAGGAGGTTCCGCCACAACTATCCATAAGTGCATCATATTCCCTCGTTGCCGAAGATCCAACGACTTCGACGTCACCGTGGGGACCAAGAGCGAAGTGATCATCGCAAGTTGATGCACAAAATCAACATCGATTCATGCCAAACAGTCAATCACCATGTGAAATCTCGGTTAGTTTTCCTTAAATTTTTGGAAAGACAAGAACCGTAATTGGCAAGGCAGCACAAAACAATTTTTTCGTCTAAAAAAAGAAACAATTTATCATTTTATTCCTACGATGTCCGGTCGCAACTTTCATTTTGCGCACAATTCATGCTACGTTCAATTTATCAACACCAACAAGAATACAAAATTTGTTTGGTAATTGGTTGGGTAGTATTCACCATAACCAGATGGGGCAAATATGCATGGGAATTTGTGCCATTCTTTGTGCAATTTAGAATTTGCGGAATGAGTTTGTTTTTAACAGATCATCTTTTTCAAAAACATTACAGGTTATCTTCAGACTTCAGAGCTACATCGTAAATCTGTAGATGACAATCACTACATGTGGATGTACAAAGGCTTAAGGCCTTTGGGTGCAGCCGTGTGAAAACAACTGCACTGGGATTGTTTAACTAGTTTGGCTGGCATGTGCCAGTAACGGATTAGGTGGATGAGCTATATAATCTTGTTTATGACATTGTAGTCGTATTTTGTTGTAAACCTTTTGATATTTGATGACTTGGACTTGTTTTATGTTATATTTAATAAAATGCATGTGTCCAACCTACTCCCTTTTCCGAAAAACTGAATGTGTTTGTGTGTGAGGTGCATGTGCGTTGAATTATTTTGGTTCGCACTATCAACAAAAACAAGTCTAAATTATGGGTTGTTACTATCCTAGCTGTTGATGAAATTTTCGGTCAATTCAATGAATTTATTTCTATATATCTCAGGGTGTTTGCAGCATTGTAATGTTTTCGTCAATCTAGTGTGAACAAATACTCCATTGACTAAACAGAAAATGTTCTTTCCCACTTTTCTTTATATATTGGACATCAACTATGGATCGATATTTCAGTGTGGACGAGCAATAAAAAATCCTTAGACGGCTATAAATTAGTGGAATCATAAATTTTAGCTCAAACTTTTGTTAGGAAAGCAAGTCACAATACATCCATAAAAAAGGAACATGTGCGTCTTATATATTTTTAAGCGGGTGGCTAGCTCTCATCTAGATGAGAAATAACCAAATCAAATCTAAGTCCTACGTCATTTGGTTTTACGCAAAGATTCATACAAATTTCCTTTTGTCATTTTGTTTCATTAATCAAATGGTGTAGAAGTTAGATGAGACTTTGTTAATTATCATCTTGATAGAATTAGCAAATCCGATTTTTGAACGAAGAGGCATGTCCTGTTATTTCTGTTATTGCTCCCTCCGACTAGGTGCATTATTTCTGTTATTTCTGTTAGGCATGTCAGGAAGTGCACCCCAACCTAGGCACGTAAAGACTGGGCTAGGAGAAAAAATTGAATTGCAGAGGAAGCCAATCACACTACTATTCCTTTCTCAACTGAAAACATGCTATAATTAAGAGAGCTCTTCAAATCCAAATAACATGCCGCATGAATTGCATGCATTGGTCCTTCAATTAATAGATAGGGTCTACCAAAACATAATTAATATATTACGTGCCTTAGAGTTTTGAGATTATTTGATATGCATGCAACTAATACTATTGTTACGTGCCTTAGCGTTTTGAGATTATTTGATTTTTCATTAGATGCCTAATTCACCAATTCGTTAGATGCCTAATGCATCAAAAACGGAGGGACTGCTACAACATAATTTGGAACCCAAATTATTAGGATTATTTTAGAACATAAACTCAGGTGTTGCGTTTGCCCACATTAAACAACTGCTTCGAGGTTTAGGACCCATCAGTATGAGAGTATTTTAGGACCTACTGCTTGACCAAGTCCAAGTGAGCTTGACTTTATGCTCCATTGAACTACTAACTACTAAATTTCATTGATTATAAATCATCCAACGAATGTTTTCCTTTGGTCTGACTTGAAACATCACCCGCATGATATATTTTCATACTACGAAATGGGCGAATAAAAATCTTAAGGGAACATGAATGCAAATTAGGGCCAAGTAAACAAAATGGAAAACATAGAGTTGGTAATTCGGCAGAGAGAGAGATGGTGAGATCTGATCAAATCTATCATTACCATCACATGAAGAACGAAATTCGGAGTACGTAAAACTTGTAATTAATGTAACGAACGAAAGAAGGCATGAAGAAGAATAGTCTAGCTAGCTAGCTAGCTCCAAGTTTCAAAGAGAGAAACTTAACTTCAAATCTAAAAACCACAAGAACACGACTCCGCCTGCTGCATGCGTCCAGCTAGTACGAATGAATGACGACGGCGATGATGATAGTACCTCTCTCGATCGAAACCACACACATCAAATCGCTTCTTTTCTCGAGTCATTTCATCTCCCACACTCCTGTCGTCGTTCAATCTCCATTCACATGCCATAAATGTTGTGTGACCCTTCGCTTCACTCGCAGATCCGCCCCAGAGATATGCCATGTCAGCAACCACCATCATTGCTCGGCCACTTCTCGAAGCAAATGCTAGGCTGGCTGGCTGGCTCGCCGCGTGCCTATACCTAGTCGGTGTAGCCTAGGCGCTGTAGCTCCTCGCCGAGCCCACCGTCGTCGTCCTCGTCGCTGCCGCCGCTCGCGCCGTGGGCGTCCTCGTCGGCGTGGGTGGACATCGTTGAGGACGCGCCGTCGCCGGACGACGAGGGCGGCGCCATGAGCTCCAGCGCCAGCGGGTCCAAGCCCGCGGCCTGGCCCTTCCGCGGCGAGGACGGCGACGGCATGGGCGAGCGCGGCACGAGGAGCTCCGGCTCGGTGAGCTGCCTGCCGTCGCGCGGCGGCGAGAAGATCACCGGCAGGTACTCGTCGCTGTCGCAGGGGAACTTGGAGTTCTTGAAGTGGTCCTTGAGCGCCTCCAGGCCCTGCGCATCACGCTCGTTGGTTAATTAACACGGCGAGCTACGTACTGCTGTGGGTGGCATAGGAGGAACTTGTCAAGATTCATGGCATGCAGATGCGGTACACGAGAGTACGTACCTGCACGCGTGCGTACGTGACTTGGCAGATCTTGCGCGAGTTGTACACCTCCCATGGCTGCTTGTGGAACGCCTTGTACAGCCGCACGGCCGCCTCCGGCGTGGTGAGGTTCACGAACCCGTACCCCACGTTGCACTTGTTGCTGCATGCCACAACAAAATTTAGACGTTCATTTGAAGATATAATACCACTTCCCCGCAAAAAAGATGAAGATATAATACCACTGATTAATTTAGAGCTAGTACTACTACCAAAACCTTGGAGTAATCAGCCAAGCAAGAGCTACACTACTAGTTGGAGAGGTCAAAAGCTTTTGGAGCTACCAGTAGAATTTTTTTACTATAGATGTGAAGCTGGCTTTGGGCAGAAGCGCACCAAAGTTCCTCTTGTCATTGGGCACTGATGGCAGGTCTTTTCTCAGCCTTTGCTTCGTGCAAGCGGAAAGTTGGCAGCCAAACAAGACACAAAAAAGAAAGTGTGCTTGAAATTAGCCAACACCAATTTTCATACTTTGAACACCACAAAATACATGAACGCTTTTGCATATGATGCAACTTTTCACCGCTACTCCATGATTCTCTCACCCAAAGGTTTGCTTTTATCCATGTCGTGCTGGCCTTGATATGGAAGCGCATGGCATGCCAGCAGTGAGGGCTGTGCAAAGCAAGAAAAGCAATTGGCAGGGAGGGAGGGAGGAGGATCCTAGAGAGGCAGCAGATGTGCGAGAAAAGAAAGACAGGCGAACACAGGCCCCTTTCTGATCGATCAGCCGGGCCAGGCGATGCATGCAACCAAAGAATTCATTGCATCAAAACGAAAAGGATCCGGTGCCATCTCCAATTTCTTTTCCATTTGGGCTAATAAGACCATGGCACAACAATGCTGGCGCAGACCAGGCAGTACAGGGCGTGGTAGTAGTACCGAAAGATGCCCCCCTTCACCCCACACAAGCTCAAACAGCCGGCCGGCTAATGGCCAAGAACTTGTCCTGGTTTCTACCAATTTTGTAATTTTGTAGCCTTCACATTTTTCTACCTCAATTGAACCAACTTCTCATACAATTTTAATTTGCAAATTGAGTAAATTGAGTGTGTGTTCGTGGGAATGAGCTCCATGAAATATGAACGAATGCAGCAGCTTATAGTTGGAGGACTCACTTGAAATCTATGGGGAGGTAGAGGAAATCGTAGGAGGAGAAGGGCTCGCCGCCGCCTTCGCCGGCGTCGATCTTATTGTTGTACTCGATGCAGTGGTTGTCCAGCATGTTGAGCAGCAGCTTCTGGCTGCAACGAACAAGAGATCACAAGGTCAGGCACACAAGGCCGAGCATGAGCTAGGCAAATCCTTCTCACAATTGTAGCATAGCATGCGCCCATGAAATATAGTACTAGTAGTAGTAGCATTGTTGCGGCAAACGCGGAGGATGACGACCTGTACTTGTTCGGTATGTTCCTGATCATCACGGTGGTCCTCGTCTCCGGTTCTTGCGTGTCCGTGTCGGCGGCGGTGGTGGCGTTGCTGTCGGAGCGGGCGGCGTCGGGCTGTTTGAACTCGAAGCGCGTCTCCCACCCGCCTCTCCAGCTCTTGGGGCCTCTCCAGCTCCCCACGCGGACGACTCCTTTCTGCGGCTGCTGCTTGCCGGACGCCGACGCGGTCGCCGCCGCCTCGGAAGCCGAGGCCGGAGACGACGACGTCGTGTCAACGACAATTGTGGCTTTCTTCCCGCCCTTGCCCTTGCCCTTCCGTTCATGGCTTGTGCCACCCTTGGACCGATCGCCCGCGTTAGACTTGGAGGAGCACCTGCTCGTGGTAACCACCTCTCCCCTGGCCTTGCCAGTGCCGGTCGACGACGACGACGGCTGTTTCGCCGGAGACGGCAAGGGACGCCACGCCGCTTGCAGCCTGGGCGGCGTCGGGACGATGGGTCGCGGCGACACGAACCCGCGCCTGCGTGCAATTCACATAGTATTTTAGTCGACGGACTGGATCGATGGGCAAGTGAGGGCAAGGCGGTGCGCAAGAATTACCTGCGTACGCCGGGGACAGAAGGGCGCGTGAACTCGAGGATGAAGCGGTGGCCGAAGAAGTCCCGGCCGTTGAGCTCGGCGAGCGCCCGGGCGGCATGGCGCGTGTCGAAGAACTCCACGAATTTGTGGTTCGGCCGCTGCGCGGACTCCCTCACATCCTTCAAGGGACCTGCAAACAAACACCGGTCGGGCATGAGAGGACAATTGTGGCGAGAAGGGTTCGGTGGTGGGTGCGTACCGTAGGCTTGGAAGGCCTGGCGGAGCTCGGAGAGGGAGACGTCCGGGAGGGAATTGAGCACGACGAGGGAGCCGCGGTTGGCGCCGTCGTCGGGGAGGGTGGAGGCAGCGGCGAAGTGAGCCCAGACGGCCTGGCCGAGGACGAGGCCCCGGCAGTCGTCCTGCTGCCAGTCCCACGCCGGCGGCTGGGGTGGCCAGGCGGTCGTGGCGGCGTACAGCTGGCTGAGGCGGCACTGCTGCCGCATGTGCTGCTCGCGCACCGCGGTGACGGCGTTCTCGGCGGCGCGGAGGTCAAAGAAGTGCACTGTGGCCACGCCCTCGGACGCCAGCGCCGACGCGTCCACCGTGCGCACGTCGCCAAAGGGCGCCATCGCGCGCGCCACCTCGAGCTCCGGCGTGTGCGGCGGCAGCAGGCTGAGCACGACCGCGCGGCTCGCCGGACCGTCGACCGCCGTCGCGGCCACCGTCGGCACGGGGAGCCCAATCTGCGGCTGAATCGCGACGGTCTGCGGCTGTGGCATGGGCATGGGCATAGGCATGGCCATCGGCGGCGGCATGACCGGGAACGGCGGCGGGCAGTAGAGCTGGTGCGGGATCGACAGGAAGGGCGGGGGCGGGTAGGGCGCGCCAGCACTAGGGTAGTATTCCTGAGCTCCGGCGTCCAGGATGTTTTGAGGCGCTCCCGGCATGCCCGGCATGCCGGCCATGCCACCACCGCCTCCTCCCACCCCGTCCATGGCACGTGCAGGCCGAATTGGAGCAGCGGCGGCGGCGGCGCTAGGCGGAAGATCTAGAACATTCTTGGGATTAATTCTGGGTCGTGGCTGCAAACCGCGATCAAGAAACTAGGCTAGAATTGTACTTGAGCGGTCCCTCTCTCTCTCTCCCTCGCCCGCCTGCCCCTTCTTGCTTAGCTGTGGACTGGGTTGGGTGGAGGGGTACCTGGGGCTGGGGGGAGGAGGAGAGAGAGGGGCGGGGAGCTCTTTTTATGGAAATGGTCGCGGGAAAAGAAAGCAGGTGGGCTTTTATTTGGAAGTCTACAGGAACAAGGGGGAGGGAGGGAGAGCGGCTGGCTGGTCTCGGGAGGAAGAAGCGCTGCCTCCTGCGCCCGCTGCGGGGTGTTGTGTTGTGCGGCTGGCCGGCCCTGTTGGCTCGGATCTTCTGTGACGCCAGAACGTGTTCATCTTTCGGGGACATGGATGATTCCGGGAGTTTGTTAGAGCTCTTGTGTCTCATGTTGCACGGATCTTGCTGCCACTGCTTAGATACTACGTTCACTGTAAGAAACTCTCTGCTGTAAAAATCAAACCCTGTTTTAGGGGAAAATGTAAAAGCTCGATATTGCAACTTTAGACAGCTCTAGGTTATACCGCAAAAAACGCCTCTACAAAAACAGTATACGGCTCGCCCTAAAATGGATTTGTGGTACCATGTGGCATCGGGCGAAACTGATCCTGTAAAAATTATTTCGGTCAGCCTGGTTGTAATGGAGAGTATCATATGCTAGTATCATGCATATGATACTAGTGAATAATAGTACCTCTCTAATGCATAGTATCATATATTAGTATCATGTACTATTTTATTTATTGTCATGCATGACACAAAGTAGCATACTCCCTCCGTCCGGGTTTATTAGGCCTCTCAGCATCACAAGCATGTCCCCTTTTATAAGGCCCGGCGTTGGAAAGGTGCATGCATGCAACCATTTCATTGGTTGTATTGAAAGCTATTGTTGTTGGTGCCATGGCTGAAAAGTTAATACACTTCATGTGTGCTTTTTCATTGGCTGCATGCATGTGAGAGAGTGCATTGGGAGTGGAATGGAAGAATTAATGTGATCAAATTACTATGTGTCTTGGTCTAAGAAAAGTTGTCTTTAGGCCTAATAAACCCGGACGGAGGGAGTATCATTTATTATGATACGGTATCATGATATGATGCTCTATCATCTCTTTCTTTATTTAATGCTATGACACCTCATTAAAATTGTCTAGTTGGCATGCATGATACTAACTATGATACTACCATTACGACCAGTCTCACACGGCAGCCCACTAGTCACTAGTTGAATTTATAACAAGGTCCATACAAAATAACACAACACACCCTAAAATCGATAGCTAGATTACAATTGGTTTCCCAAAGACCTCAACGACGCAACTCGTCGTGAGCACACAGGGGCGCGCGGACGGGGATGAGGGCGTGAGCGGTGCTTTGCAGCAAAGCGCACTGCATGGTTGCGGGCTTGGGTGGCGCAGGCGGCTGGGCAGCGAGAGCGCCTACATTTGCTCAAACTTATTGATAGAAACTGGCTTTGTCATCATATCAGCAGGATTATTATGAGTACTTATCTTTCATACCTTCAAATAACCTTCAGCAACATCTCGAATATAGTGATATCTGATATCAATGTGCTTTGTTGTCTCATGATACATTAGATTTTTTGTAAGATATATAGCACTTTCACTAAATACAGTAGGGCAAGATGAATCTCCACAAAGCCGAGTGTATAAACCTCACAATCAAATAGCTTCTTTGCATGCCTCGGAAATAGCCATATAATTGGCATCAGTAGTGGAACATGCCACGATGGACTGCAAAGTTGCTCTCCAACTCACTGCACAACCACCAATGGTGAAAACATAACCTGTGACCGATCTTCTCTTATCCAAATCACCAGCAAAATCAGACTCAACAAAACAAACACGTCCATCTCCAGTTTTCTCAAACTGTAAATAAGCATTAGAAGTACCTCGCAGGTTGGAAATCCACTGAACATCTTTCCAATGCTTTTTTTTCCAGGATTAGCCATGTATCTACCGACAACACTCAATGCATATGATAAATCAGGACGAGAACAAACCATGGCATACATAAGTGAACCAACTACACTTGAATAGAGAACTCTAGACATGTACTCAATATCTACATCTGTTAAGGCATATTTTACCCTAGTAGTTTCAGTGATTGATGACAATACGTTTTGCGGACTAATCGTATGCACTGACCTTTTCAGAGACTATATCAATAGGCATGAGACGGTTTTTCTCCCCTAGATGGTAAAGAGTGAAGACGGTTATTTTTCGACGATTTCTTTTTAGTGGATTTGAGTCGTAGGAGATCCGTACTATTAAGAGGGGGTCCGCATTGGAAAGGTATGGGTGGAATCGACAGGTACGCAGCCACATATGCACCCACAGCTTCCTTTCCCTTCTCTGGAGTATATCCATTTGTTTTCTGTGGTGTTTCAATGACTTGCAAGCAGTAGTGCCGCTAGTGCCCACAGTAGTACCGCTGGGTACTTCCGTGGCACTACCGCTTAGGGTTTCCCCGAGCATGCAACATTCTGTTGTCGGTCTGCATTTAACGGTAGTAGGGCGGTACTAGCACGGTAATGCCGCTCTGGCGGTACTACAACCTGTACTACCGCCGCCACTACCGCTTGCGGGGTTTTCCTCTATGTAAGCTTCTGTTCTGGCGGTACTATAGCCCGTACTACCGCCACCACTACCGCTTGCGGGGTTTTCCTCTGTGCAAGCTTCTATTCCAACTTTGCGCTAAGCGGTAGTAGAACGGCACTAGGGCGGTAGTACCGCTTCGCACGGTACTGCCACCCTGGCACCATCTACTACTGCTGCCTCTCCAGGTCTAAAATCCCTAGCGGTAGTACCGCTAGGGGCAATGGTAGTACCGCTCCGGCGGCACTACCGTAGGTACATCCAGTGTATTTTAAGCCTGTGCGGGCTAGTACCGTCTAAGCGGTAGTGCCGCTCCTAGGATCGGTAGTACCGCTTAGTTGCGGGGACAGGGCAGAAAATGGTTGGATTTTTGTCTCTCTATATAAAGGGGGGTCTTCTTCTTCCTAAGGTTCACCTCTTCCTCCCAAGCTCCATTGCCATTAAAAAGCTCATTCTTGCCCGATCTCTCTCCCTAGCCAATCAAACCTATTGATTTTCTAGGGATTGGTTGAGAAGGCCCCGATCTACACTTCCACCAAGAGAAATCTGACCCCCCACTAGTCCCTTGCGAAACTTGTTACTCTTGGGTGTTTGAGCACCCTAGACGGTTGAGGTCACCGCGAAGCCATATATCATTGTAGTGAAGCTCTGTGGTGTCGTTGGGAGCCTCCAATTAAGTTGTGGAGATAGCCCCAACCTTGTTTGTAAAGATTTGGTCGCCGCCTTCAAGGGCACCGATAGTGGAATCACGGCATCTCGCATTGTGTGAGGGTATGAGGAGAATACGGTGGCCCTAGTGGCTTCTTGGGGAGCATTGTGCCTCCACACCCCTCCAACGGAGACGTACTTCCTATCAAAGGGAAGGAACTTCGGTAACACATCCTCGTCTCCACCGGCTCCACTCTTGGTCATCTCTTACCTTTACGTGTGCAAGCTTTTACTGTGTTGTATCGCTTGCTTGCTTGTGTGCTTATTGTTGTTGCATCATATAGGTTGCTCACCTAGTTGCACATCTAGACAACCTATTTTGATGCTAAGTTTAATTTGGTCAAGAAAAGCTGAAAATTGTTAGTTTCCTATCCATCCCCCATCCAGTCAACCATATTGATCTTTTCAATTGGTATCACAGCCTCGTCTCTTTATTAAGGACTTTGCCATCCGAAGAGTATGGTTGGCACCACAGACGAGGTGTAGGAGCACTCCGGTGCGAGTCCTTCCTTGTCTGGCCCGATGGGGGATCCTTGATCTCTCGTGAGGAGTTCAATGCGACTATGGAGTTGACATATTGAAAACTTCCATGACAACCGAGGTTAAAGGCATGTTTAAGGAGTTTCTTGAAGGCCTTAAATCAGCCACCGCACCGTTGGAAATGATTGATCCCACTAACAAGGTGGCGGCTGCTAACTCCAAAAAGGGGAAGCTAGTAGTGATCAAGTTCCTTTGCTTAGTGGTAGAAATGGGAGTGGCATCTTTGCCCATGTTGAACCACCTCTTACATATGGAGGACCGGTTCCCTCCACGCATATGAATCATGTTGGTCCTCCTCCTAAGCTTGTGAAAAATGAGGATTTTGCCTCTTGGGTGTATCGCTTTAAACGCCATTTAAATCATAGTTCTACTAATCTTTGGAGAATTATTGAGCAAGGTTTCTACCCGCATGATCCAAGCAACTTCAATCCTAGAGAAGTCGCGGATCATCAATTCAACGAGTCCGCTCTCTTCATTCTCCAAGAAGCCATTCCTCCCGAAGATATTGCGCACCTCCGACCTTTCGCCGTGGCCAAGGAAGCATGGGAGCATGTTGTTTCCATATACAAGGGAAGCGCAAGCATTCAACGCTCAAACTTTGAAGTGGTGCAAGATGAAGCCGATGAGTTTGCAATGATTGAAGATGAAGAACCTCGAGAGCTTTATCGAAGATTAACTACTCTCGCGGTCTCACTCCGAGATCATGGGAGAAAGGATACGAATGACAATTGGATCAAGCGCAAGTTTCTCAAGGCCATGATGCCTTACCATGAGGCCATGTCCTCCGTCATTCGTCAAAGGCTAGAGTTTCACGCCTTGTCCTCAAGTGAAGTGTTGGATGAGTTTGTTGCAATGAGGATCTTGGACAAGACCGCCGACTATGCGGTGTTGCGTTCTCAACGATCAAAGAAGCCCAACCTTGCTTTGAAGGCCAGGGCTAGTGTGGAGGAAGAGGATGACGAGGAAGAAGAGGAGAGTTTTCCCCGAAGACACCAAATATGCCTATCATGAGCACATGGCTCTTGCTT